ATTCTATGCAGCACTTCCTCACGTTTCCTTAGAGATCATAACACCATGTACACGTTTTGCTTTGTGATCTGAATCTGAACACACCCCGTTACGTCCTGACTGCAGCTGAGACCGTTTAAACTCCCGAGGGGTGCTCGGTGCTGTTCTTTGGAACTGCTTTTATTTTTAAAGAAAATTCAGTTCAAATTGATTTTTCTTTTTCTCTTTTCCTTCTCTCACACCAATGCCCAGGGAAGATTCTGAATGCTTCCCCATCACTTTTCCCACCGATCAAGGACGGAAATGCCCATCAGCAAACCCTGCAAAGTGGATTCAAAGTCACAGGCTGCACTGTGCACTTTGTCCTGGTAAGTGTCCTCTTGCCCAACATCGAGTAAGTTATGGAAAGGAATTTGCTTTTTTCCCTCCTTTCCGAAGGCAGAAACAGGAAGAGGTAGCAGGGAATGTATGGAAATCTTGAGGTTGTTACCAGGTAAACCAGGAGGATGTGAGGGTTATATTGCATTTGTGGTTTCTGGAGGTCCTGTCTTCTTCCTTCTTATTATGTTTTTCTCCTCCCCCCTGGCTCTCCAGCCCATGTCTCCCTCCTTGCTGTCCCCCCAGTGTAACGTAGGGGCCCGAAGGGAGGCCATAAGCCTCTCCAGATGTACTTCCAGCCTCCTGCACACAACTACACAAGTGCTTTCCGAGATCCCTCCTGAGACTTTCTCTGTCCCGTCGGCATTGCCCGTACCCTTCCTGAGGCTGTTAGCCAGCCTCTTCTGAAAGACCTCCAATGTCCCTGTTTCAGGAGGAATCTAGTCCGAAAGCAGTGATCCACCGGGAGCCGGTATCCATGAAGGCGGATGACACCGAGGAGATGCTGTCAGAAAGGGTTAAAGAAGCCGAGTGCCGGGCTTTCCCCATCGCCCTGCAGCTGGTGGCCAGTGGAGCAGTGCAGTTAGGAGCCGATGGCAAAACCCACTGGAAACAGGAGAGCCAAAGCCTTTGCCTTGAAGAGGAGACCTGTGCATCCTCTCTTGTGGCTTTGGAGCCTCAAGCAAGTGATGCGTTGTAGCCAGGTTGATGAGCGCCTTGCTCTCTGCTCGTCTTGCCCCACCCCTCCCTGCCCTCCACACACTTCTCCCCGACTGCCCACGTGGCAGTGTTGCAGGTTCGGAGCTGTGAGCCTCTTCCCCCAGCTCGCAGCTTGAGCTACACTCCTTTGGCAAAACTGGCGGGGGAGGCCAAGCCATCATCTCAGATTTTAAACATCTGTGTGCTGCTTTTTCATCTGTAAAGGAGATGCCGTTGTTACAAATCAACGAGAGGCTTTGAACACACGGCCTAGTGCTTCAGGGGGAAACTAACGCTTCTGAGGGATCAGTTTTTGTTGGCTGCATCCCGTGGCAGAGCACCAAGAGCTTCACACAGCAACCACAAAGGGGACCCACGCTGCTGCAGGGGGGTGACCAGCTCCTCGCGGGTGGAAGAGGCCAGACATGTCCGGCTGGATCAGGAGTGAGGCCCAGCCTGGCGTGGTATGGATTTGGGGGTGAACAAGTGTTAGGGGACAACTGCATAGTTCCATGGGAGGAGGTGGTGGGAGCCTGCAAGGGCCCTGTGAGCCCCACTGGTGTGGGGGCGCCTCAGTACGGAGGAGAGGAGGGCATGGGAACGGGCACCAGTGTGGGAGCCAGGGTCTAGGGAGCTGCTGAGCAGATCAGAAGGCCAAGAAGGCAGGGGGAACCTTTAGAAGGCAAAAGGAAGTGAACAAAACTCGCCTTCACAGTTTGTCAGCGTGATGTCATAGTGCACACTCAACAGACATTTAGACGCTTTCCTCTGCGCCCTTGAAAGGGAGCAGTGCATAGGCATTCCCAGAATTTCATATGAAAACATTTGGATCTTGGAGGGATGAAAATTTGATTTGAGGGACCAGAAACACCGAGTTTCAGGCATTTTTCTTCCTTCACCCTTGAAATCGGGAGAACGAGGCATCCTCAGCCTACCTTGCAGTAGCAGGAAAACCTCGGTTTCTTTGCTGAGCGAATGACTGGCTTGGTCCAGAGAGCTGCTGCTGCTAAATGAAACCGGGCTGGGTGGAAGCTTGTTTTGGGTCTGCCAGCACAGCAACGTGCCTGCAAGTAACAGATGGGAGGAAGAAAGCTCGCTAGGAAGCGGCTGGAACCAGAAAAGAAGTAGGCAGAGCTGGATTCTTCCAGGGGAGGGGTCACTGGCAGCTATTAGATGCAGTGGAAAAAATGTATTGCTGTTTGGATGTGACGCGCACGGTAGTAGCAAGGCGCACCTCGCGTTCGGCTGTATCAGGCTGTTGGAGAGCATGAGTCTGCGCCGGTCAAAAAGTCTAAATTGTCCTTTTTTTTTTTCAAAATAATGTGGAGCTGGTGGTGCTTCAGCAGTTAGGGAGGGGAGAAAAAGTTCCTGCGTGCGAGCTCTGCCATTTATGCATGGCAATCCGTAACTGCCTCTCGCGCTCCGATGCCTGAAGCAAGGAACGTGCGTTCTTCATGGTCTGGGAGGGACGGAAAGAGCTGCGAGAAGGCAAGATGAACACACGTTTGGTACAGGTGGATGGTTTTGGTGATAAATGCGTCGCTTGGTTTGGTCTCGGTCTGCTGTAACGGTGCAGCAACCGCCTGTTTTACGCTGCTGGAGCCGCAGGACGCGCCCGGCTGCACGTCTCAGACCGCACCAATACAGCGTTACAGGAGCATCGGCGTTGCGCTCCGGTGGGCGTGCAGACCATCACCGCCCTGCTGGGAAACTCCGGGTTCCCGGCAGACCCCCGAGGCCGGGTGTGGCCACACGCCCCCCGACCTCTTTATTCTTTTGTAGGCGGTGAAGCCAAGCCCTCTGGGATCCGGTTCACAGTGTGGTATTTTGGTATGTATTTGGAGAAATACAGATGGGTGCTTAAATCCCATTTGTCACTGGTCTTAGACAGCAAAATACCCGAGTCTTGCTCACGTTTCCTGTGGCAGAATGGGGTTTTGGATTTAGGGCTCCTGGGTCTACTCCTGTTGGCCTTCCCAGCAGTGATCAACCCGCTTCTGTCACTGATGTTGTATTTGGGTTTGAGCAACCTGGTCTAGTGGGAGGTGTCCCTGCCCATGGCAGGGGGGTTGGAACTAGATGGTCTGTAAGGTCCTTTCCAACCCAAACCATTCCATGATTCTGTGATTTATTAACCGTACGGGTAGCGCTTTCACTCCCCATGATCTTCTAATGCGCAAGAGGGCGTCTTTCGGCCTGTGAGAGGTTTGTGGGGTCACGGCCAAGACACTGCGCCTGCGCGGGCTGAAGCCCTGCCACGGCCAGATGCTCCCCCTGTCTTAGGTTCTCACCGGGATTCCTGGCCTTGGCGGGCAGCGTGCCCGCGGGGGAGGCCCTCCCTGGGAGGGCGGGTTCATAAAGAAAACCCTGGTCTAAAGGCTTTGCTTTTCCCTCCCGTCTTAGGTTCTCACCGGGATTCCCGGCCTTGGCAGGCAGTGTGCCCACGGGGGAGGCCCTCCCTGGGAGGGCAGGTTCATAAAGAAAACCCCGGTCTAAAGGCTTTGCTTTTCCCTCCATGAGCAAATTACACTCAACCATGTGTCCGTTTCCTCTGTATTTGCTGGAGCTTCACCCTCGGTGACAAACAATGACAGAAGTATTTTGTCAGGAAGTTTGTTCCTCGGGGACCATCGGACCACTGACCGGTAAGGTGACCCCCCACCATCTGCCAGTGGTTACTAACTTGCGCGGGATCGCGCACCTCCGGAACCCCACAGAGCCATTTACTGCAAGCAAAGTTAGCTTCCCTTTCACAAACTCCTCCCCCAGCTTATACCCCCAGTAAAGGAATTCCAAGGAAAGAGGTTGATATTTAATTTTTTAACTTTATTAAGACTTTATTTCCAATCCCCGTTGAGATTACATCAACGCGGAAGTACCGTAAGGACATCCGTCCGTAACCAGCTTCGGTCAGATGCTTCTGGCTTGCGTGGGGGAAAACCTGACGACGTTCGGAGACACAGCGGAATGCTTTCATGGCTGCGCGAAAACCTTCTGGGAGTTCAGCTCTTTTCGGAATGGTAACATTTACTGGGTTTCCATCGGTATGGTTCCAGGGGAAAACAGTGTTCCAAGAAGAACGGCGCTTCAGCGCAGCAGGATTTCTGAAGAATGTCTTGGAAGCCAAGAGCACATTCTGTGTCTAGTCCTAGCTAGGAAACACCCTACTCTTTTGGCTCAGAACCAATCTCTGAGGGGAATTTGTATCTGGATTCACAAGGGGATGCCTGGAGGCAAACGGCCAGCAGACATTTCATTCTGTTTACCATCTGACTGACAGCAGGTCCAGTACTGGAAATTATGGGATATGTCCAGAGAATCGGGGTCAGACAAGCTCTACCAACATGAAAACAGAAACTATATGGGGGGGAAAAAAAATCCATCATCTGCAGGAACCCTTAGTGTTTTGGGAAGCCACTTTGTCTCGTTTTGGCTGGAGATTTTTCCAAATAAAGTTGTTTTACCTTTAGCTGTCTCTTCCACCAAACTAGTCCCAGTGCTTTTCCTCGCCAACACTTCCCAGCACACGACAAGGGAATCCCCTGGTCGCCTGTACGGCCGGGCAGAGCAATTCCGGTGTTCCTAGGGCACGCTCGGAGATGCTGGCGTCTCTCTGTAACCCACCGCGTGGGGCTTTTCGGTTTGTGAAGAACGTGACGGAGAACCGGCACGTTGGCCAAGGAAGTGACTACAGCGAGGAAGCGTGGAAGAGAGCCTTTGCTGAAACGCCCGAGAACAGCCCCCGAGCCCCCCACCTCCATATTCCCATTTGTGGCTTCCTCCGGACTTTGACCCTTGGACCGTTTGAGTGAGAAGAGGACATGGTAAACTCTGTGCTGAAATGGCTCCGTGAAGAGGGTGCAGTGTGCGTGTCATTAGGCCGTGACCGCCGCTGTGACCAATCCAGGCACCCCAGCCGTCCCACCTGCCTGGACGCGCCGATCCTACTTCCAGTAGATCTTGCCGGCTTCCCCCACCTGTACGGCCCCGCTGGCGACAAGCTGCAGGGCAGCAGGGAAGGCTCGGTGCTCGGCCTCCTTCACCCTTTCGGACAGGGTCTCCACGGTGTCGCCGATCTTAACTGGGACTGCCTCCTGGAAAATGATTGCTCCGGCGTCAACCTCCTCCTGTAAAAGCAGAGGAGAGTCTGTAGGGTTGGAAGAGGAGGGGGAGGGGGCCAGCCGTGCGGCGGTGGATACAATCCAGCCACCGCGGGGACCTGTCTGTCGTGACGGTACCGCAGGCAGCATGGATTGGGGCTGATGTGGGGAGTGCAGGAAGGGTGCCGGCCCCCCGGGTGGCCTGCGGGGGACTAACAGAGGGTCGGGTTCAGAGCGAAAGAGGAGGCAGGCAGAACACCAGTAAAGTTTCTGCTCTGGGAAACGACAAAAGCCACGTGAACGTGGGGACACGATGGGCGGAACTGGACAAAATAACGGCATTTCGGTCCCGAAGAGTGAATTAGCCAAGCCTTGGCACGGGGCGGGACTACAGACCCAGCAGATCTCCCCTGGGCGCCTCAGGGAGACAGCTCCCTGCTGTCTCAGTGTGGTTTCCCAGCCCATCGCCACACAGAGGAACTGGAAGTCCTGCCGCGGGGAAAGGAATGCAACTTCCACCTGGACAAATTTTTCTACCTGGAAAAATAGGTTTTGTCTCTTTTTTTCCAAGAGAAGGCAAAAGTCATGTGAACAGATTTCAGGAGCAGTGGAAAAGGGGAGGATAATCTGAGGAATGCAGCAGAGGAGGGGAGACCAGTTCACTGGCAACCCTGAGAAGTGACCAAGATGGAAAAAATGCTCCCTG